TTTTTTGCGTTACAGTTTAGTAATAATGTATAAGTTCAATTACTTAATAAAATGCTTTATTTCTATTTAAAAATAATACCACATTTAAATACAACAATCCGGCATCGCAGCATCCATCAGCTCCCCTTCCGACAGACCACGCATCCTCCTCCCACGACTGTTTTTATTAACTGGGATTCCATCCATCTCTGTGTAAGTTTATGAAATGTGTTTTGGCTTGGAGCACAGAAAATCCATTTAGACATTAATAGTCTAGTTGCAAGTTATGTTACTCATTCTCAAGAGTAGCAACAGTGTGCTGTGATTTTTTTCCCCCCCAGCATTTTTCCCTTAATTTTATTGGCTAATAAAATCCAAACATTGGAACCTTTTGCCCAGAAAGTGGCGCCAAAGAAAAGCAGCTGCCCACCTCGACCCCCAAGGGCTCTCCAAATGGGATCCGAGTCTTGGTGGAGGCTCCAGGGCAGAGAGGAAGGCCTGCTCTTCAACTGCTGAACTGCTCTGCACAGGGTCAGCCAGAGGCTTTCCTTATGTCTTCCTCACTGAAAGACGAGAACTCAGGTCTCTCTCTAATTCTAGAAATTCAAAATGGTGGTATCACTGTGGTGTGTTCCCTACCTTAATCCTTTCCCTCAAACGTTCTTTTTCTAACAAGCCTTAACAAGCAATTTTGAGCAAATATTATGTATCAGATGCTACATAAGGTGTTGGTCGTATAGAAAGGAGCTCATAGCTTAATAGGAAAGAGGGAGACATGCACACCAATCATTGTAGGCCAACCTGATGATATCGTAATGAGATAGGAACAAAGTACATAGAGGCCCAGAGCAAAATTGGCATGAACTCAGCTAATATAAATAATAGCTCTTTGGGAATTACTTTTACTAATGCGCTGGTCAGTTTCTTCCCTGACCAGTATATTAGTAAAAGTTATTCCCAAAGAGCTTTTATTTATCTTTAATAATAAAAGCATAATATAATAATTAGACAGGACATCCTTCCGAACAACCTTCCAGAAGAAGCTGGGGCTATGTGCCAGAGGGAAGATGGTGCCAGCAGCCAAGGGAAGGAAGTCCTAGGAAGGAAGGGCCTCTAGTATTGTATAAAAGTGGGTAAAACATACATAAGAACATTACTTCAACCTCATTAGACAAATGGTGAAAAATATCAGCAGGTAATTAACAAAAGAAAAAATAATAAACAATCAGTTTTAACAGACCCCCTATTTTATTGGTCTTCAAAGACACAAAAGTTAAAACAATAAAAACAAAAACTTATGAAATCTAGTTCTCAGAATTATTACAGAATAATTGAAACTCCATTTAATCTGGTCGCAAGGCAAATTCATGCAAACCTTTAGGAAGACAATGGAACAATATGACAAAATAATAATCTTTTTAAACCCAATATTCCCAATTCCACAGAATTTACCCTAAGGAAATAATTGTAATGAAGAAAAAATACTATATATATAAATATACTTGTCACTGTTATTTATATTATTATTTCACTGTTATTCATCATAGTGATAGACTATACATCACACATACTAATGTAAAGGTAATGTTTCAGTAGATTTGTTGTTCTACTTATCCACTCATTTATTGGTTGATTTTTGTATGTGCCCTGACCTGGGATTGAATCCATAACCTTAGTGTATTGGGATAACACTAACCAACTGAGCGTCCCAGCCAGAGTCAGTTTACTTCTTAATATAAAATTTAATAAAAGGAAAACACAAACTGTCCATAGTAATAAATATAACTCTATCCCCCAGATTCAGTTGGGACCTCAGCATCAGAAACCCTCTGCTAAAATGGGTTTCAAAGTGATTTAGGAATTTTAAGCGAGATAACACCACAGTCAGAGTTAATCAGCCCTTTTTCTTCCTTTTCCCTAGCCACCTCCCATTCAAGTCATCCTCTATTTTATTTATTCCATTTTAGAATTCTTCCTTACCTCTCTGTGTACTCCGCCTTTGAATGTAGAAACTGCCCTACTCCTTTTTGTAACCACCTACCCCTTTGCCAGTTGCTAACAAATTCAATGAAATCATGAGTATTTAATTTACTTAACAGTGTACAAATATATTTGAGACGAATGCGAAGTAATGATAATGATTTTGCTAAGCTGGTAGAACTGAGACAGCATTTAATTTTTTTTAATTTTACAACATTTTAAAATTATTTTTATTTTTGTATAGGTAGTACCAGTTGCCTGGAGAGGATTTCACCATGGTATCTGAAATCAGGCTTTGGACATTCAGAAGTAAGCAAGTTTATCTGGAAAAAAATAAATTTATAAACTTGATAGACAAGCCAAGACATTTTTGAAAAAAAGTAAGTAAGGAGGCCTTATTCTATGGATATTATAACTTCCTTTAAAACTATCATGTGAGTAAGAAGCCAGCAATCCAGACACCTATCTGAGTGTGACTGTGTTGTTTTATTGTCACTGGAACATTTGCCTTTAAGAGCTAGTACATCAAGTATTCAGTCGTGCTGGGCAGCCACACAGTTTTCATTGTGAGCCGTGATGAGTCTGCAAGGCCGCTTTGGCAGAACAACATAGAACCTACCTTGGACATGACTCAAGTTCATAGTGAAGCATCATTTATTTCCTTTTTCCTCTTGTCAGTAATTCTCCAAAATGCTCCAGTTTTATGATATGACTTTTAAAGGAATTAAGCTTGAATAGCACAAAATTGTATAATTATGTTACAATTCAGTTGCAATTATTAATGGGTCCAAGTCTGCCATAGCATTATGAGGTAATAATGATGATGATAATAATAATGATAGCTAATATCCACAGTCTGTGTACCATGAGCCAGATATGGTGCTAAACAATTAGCAAGATGATTCAGCCTACCAGCCTGCTAGTTCATGTGTGCTGGTTATTTAGGATTGAAAAAAAATTCTAAGAATTTCAGGTGAGCCACAGTCTGTATGGAGGCAGATGAGTCACACTGAGCTCCCTGAATACATATTGGATGCACAGGCCCTAGAGCAGGGCCCACATCCCCACATGGCAACAACGGCAGGAGCTGAATTTCTAAGGTCCCCTGTAAACAGGGGGAGCACTTCCATATTAATCACAGTCCTCCCTGCTCCCTGCTAGGCTTACACCCAACCTCTCCATTTCTATAACTTGCCTGCCTCCTGTACAATTAGTGCCAGGCATCTGCCACTAATTGTACAATGCCAATAACCAAACAAAACCTAAAGGGGACTTTGGCAATCATATAGCCTGATAGCTTTTCCAACCTTTTTATAGCAATTAAGTATTTCTTCTAATAAAATCTTACACAAAGGCCTGATCTCAAAAGACAAAAGAGGAACTGTTCTGTCTGAGGGTGTCCCCAAGAAGTACACAACCTACTTGGCTCCTTCTCTCCATCCTTCTGTCTTCCACCCCCTGTGGGATCCCTTGACAACCAGTCTCCTCATGACGTAGCAGAGGGCACAAACAAGTGAGATCATCTGTCCTCAGTGACACAGCCAGGTAGTGGTGAGAACCAGGTCTCTGAAAGATGAGTCAGTGTTGATAGTTTCTTCCATTAAAGTTGGTGAGTTTGTGGAAATGGGAGAGAGAGGGAGAGAGAGGGAAAGGGAGAGGGGGGAGAGAGAGAGAAAGAAGGAGAGAGAGAGAGAGAGAGAGAGAGAGAGAGAGAGAGAGAGAGAGAGAGAGAGAGAGAGAGAGAGAGGAGAGAGGGAGGAAGGGAAGGAGGAAGGGAAGAAGGAAGGGAAGGAGAGAGGGAGGGAGGGAGGGAGGGAGAGAGAGAAAGAATCTTCTTTCAATCTCTCCTGTTTCTCCATGTGACATATCAGCAATTGTCTTTATTAGAAAAGTTCTAAACTAAATAGTAAATCATAGAGTTATGAAAGCGCACGGTATTAGAGCTGAAAGGGACATTGAAAGTCTTTTTTTTTCTTCCCACCCCTTCATTTTACAGACCAGAAAAGTAAAGACTTGCTTGAAACCAATCCCCCCTCTTAAGTGTCCCAAATTACCATCACCTCCAATATGTCAAGTACTGTTACATCCTAACTTGATGGTCAGAAGCAGAACTTCCGGTTTTAACCAGTTTCTTTATGAAAATCAAGATATAAACAAAAGTTGTGATTTCTTTCTCTCTGTGATTTTCCTTAAATCTTTGAAAGACACCCTTCCAACTGGGCACTCAAACATCTCTTTACTCCAGAAAGTGCACTTACAAATTTATGAGAAGATTGTTTCAGACTGAACTTTTCCAAGAGAGTGCATGTCAAACTATCTGTGGTCAAAGAGCTTTTATTTTAAATTTTTCAATTCATTGCAGTGGAGACCAATAATTTATATAATGCAATAAAATCCATTAATAGACAAATGAAATTTTAAAGACTCACAAAATAGAAACTAATTTCTCATGTTTTATTATTAGATTCTAAACAAACAAAAAAAAATACAACCAATTTGCTCCAACTATTTCTAAATGCCTTCTTTCTATTCCTGTACTCACCCCATCATGAATCAGTAATAAACATTTTGTGAATCAAACTTGGAGCTACATTGAGTAGCTCCAGGGTAAAGCACTGTTGAGCTGGTTGGATATAGATTATGTCAGTGAGACTGAGCATGTGAACCAGGTTTCCCCTTCCTCTCCAGTCCACTACTTTGGGAATATAGCTGTGGTCCTCAAAGGTCTTGGACAGGGTCAGGAGAAAGAGAACTACTCAACCTCCTGACTGCACCACCTCAAAACCAGCTGGGCTGGGTTCAGATCATGGAGGGTTTGCAAAATAGACTAAAGGAATTTGGGGACTCCATCCTGAAAGTAAAGGGAAGTTGTTAAAGCCCTTGAGTCCTGTGAGGGTAGGGAAAGGATAGGAATGCCTGCTGTGTGGAGCAGGGCTTAGAGGGAAACAAGACTCATTAGGAGGTTTCTGTAATAGTGTTGGAAACAGATGATATGGCTTGAACTCAAGTAGTAGCAGTAAGGTATCAAGAGCGATTTAGGGATACTTAGCTAGCAGAGGAGATGCCATGATCATGAAGGTGTATTTCCCAGAGCAAGGCTTATCCATTGCACTCGGGATGTGCTGACCCCTGCGATTTCCCCAAATGTGGAAACTTGGCTGCATAATTTGTGGTAGTGGGGGACTGTGTTCACTGGTCTGCTGTTATTTAAAAAAAACAAAAAAACACACACACACCAATTTAGGGGGCCTGATTATTGATTGAATGGAGGTGATGAAGCACAGGGAGAAGTCAACAATGATGCCCAGGCTTCGGCTTGAATGACGAGATGTCTGGTGATGCTATTCAATAAGATGGGAGCCCAGAAGGAGAAGGATACTGAAAACAATGAATTCCATTTCTGACAGGCCTTGTTTGACCTTTCCTGACCCTGCACTGTGGCTCATGGTGATCTCTAAACTAGAATGGCCCACCTTTATATTCACTTATTAAATCCCAACCATAAAAAGGTTTTGCAATCATAAAAGAGATTTTAAGAACATCAAAGCAACATGGGAAAATATTTATTAAGTAATGTTAGGTAAAGTAGTAAAAATGCAACTTAAAACAAGGTAAAGTTCTTCCCCTGTTAAATTGGAAAAAAAAAAAATTTTTTGTTTGTTTAATTAAAATGCCCCAACTGCCAAGGATGTGGAAAAGCTGGCATTCACACACGTTGCTAGTGGTAATATAAATTGGTATAAACCTTTTGGAAGAAATTTGGCATAAGGCATCAAAAACCATAAAAGAGTTTGTATCCTGTGACCTTTTAATTCCTCTTCTGGAAGTCTACTCTAAGGAAATAACTCAAAATGTAAGAGAAAGCACTTATACACAAAAATGTTTATTATAGCAGAAACTGGAAACAACCAAAACACCCCCTATTGGATTGGTTTAATAAGTTATAATAAATTTATTTGCTCTCCTCTTGTGCATAATTAAACAATTCAGTGATAAACAGTAATGTTTGTGCTATACCTACTATTGTTCTAATATGTGTTTGACTTCCACAGAATAAAAGACTAGAAAAAAATGATCATAATGATTGGGTTAGGGTGATGAATCTAGAGATAGCCTCTAAAATTTTTTTAAATAAATTTTCCCAAAGTCATTGTACATGTTCAAAATGCTTTGATAGAAACCATCGTGTATAGCAGTGTTTTTCAACCTTTTTTGGGCAAAGGCACACTTGTTTCATGAAAAAAATCACGAGGCACACCACCATTAGAAAATGTTAAAAAATTTAACTCTGTGCCTATATTGACTATATATAAAGTAATTCTCTTGAATAGGAATCAAATAAACACAAAGAAAGTATTTTATAATTACTTTATTATGAAATATTAAGTAAACAAAATAGTGAAAAATTATAAAATTCTTGTCTTGTCTGCACCTACAGCACACCAGGCAATCGCGGCACACTAGTGTGCCGCGGAACAGCGGTTGAAAAACGCTGGTGTATAGGAAGAAAACTGGTAAATGAAAAAAAGTAAAATAGAAAAGTCAACCTGTGTTAGTTACCAAAAAATATATATGTTTTTTTCATGGATCAAGAATGGGAAAAAACCATACGTAAAAAGTAAACAGTTGACTTGAGAGAAGGATTTTTAAAATTCTTTATTTTAATTATAAATTATATTAATTTGAAGCAATCTATCCAATCTTATAAACCATCTCTAAGACCTTCTTTTTTAAAGCTTTCCTCATTCTCTGATCAAACATTATTGCTACTTTTTTTTTTTTTTAACCACCCTGGCATTTGCTGTTAGTTCTTGTATAATTGTGGCCGGTAGTTCTCATTGGTCTGCATCAGAAAACCTGGTGCTCATTGCTGGGCCTCAACCAGAGTTTCTGCTTCTGGAGACCTGAGGTGGGGGCCTAAGAATTTGCATTTCTGACAATCTCCCTGAGATGCACCTACTGGGAGTCTGGGGACCACACTTTGAAAACCTTGGTAGGAGTATATGCAGATGCAATAGGATACCCATTCCCCAAAGCAACATTTATTCTGTTCCTCCCTCAAGCCCTTCCTGCCAAAGGCTGATTAATCCAAGATTATAGACAAGTAACCCAAGCTGTGCCATTCAGAATATATCCCATCCCTGGGCACACAATTGATCCAAAGTGCAGGCCATCTGTTCCTGCCAGATCAACCAGAGCCCTTCCCTATGCTTTTTCAAACACAGAACCATTCAGATGTGTGTGTGTAGCCCTCCTGCAGTGGAGTAGCCAGCATTAGAGAGAAGCCAGATGAAATGCAGAGCCTTGATGGTGGTTGTTTGAATTTGGACAGATTTGGATACTTTTTGGTGAAAGTAGTAGACGAATTCAAACCATGAGCAAAATGAAAAGAGAAATGTAAAATCCTGCCTCACATAAGATGAGATAAGATGGGCCCTCTATCTGGCTGATAACAACTACTGAGCAATGTCACCAAAGACCTGGGTTTTCCCCATCACTCTGCTCTTACCCCTTGGGTATCATAACTGCCTAGCCTAATCATTGAGGTCGAACATTAAAGAATGTCATGAAACAAAGGAGTTAGAAAGCAAAGGCAGTGAGTATAACCTACACAAGCCTCAAGCTATGTCATGGAGTCACTGACAGAGATCTCCACCGCATCTGAGAGCTAACCTTTGAGAAAATGTGTTGTTTAACTCTTCATTTGATCCTGTGACTCCTACCTTATGTTGTTATTATTACCATCATCATCATCATCATCATCAGAATTATTATTAATGTTTTAATCCTTACCCGAGGATATTTTGTCCATTGATTTTCAGAGAGTAAAAAGGAGAAAGGAGGAGGGGCCAGAGAGACAGAGAGAGAAGGACATCGATTGGTTGCCAGAGATGAACCTGCAACCAAGGTATGTGCCCTTGACCAGGAATTGAACCCGAGTTCCTTTGGTGTGTGAACCAATGCTCTAACCATTGAGCAGCTGTCCAGGGTTATTATTACTGTTTTGTTTTGTTTTGTTTTGTTTTTTTCTTATTGTGCTTAATTTTATTGAATATTATTACTGTTTTTGCTTTACTTGCTTTAGGTTGCTGTACACAGAGCCCTAACTGTTAATTTAGTTTACCTTAAAGTATCTCATGTTTGTTATCAGTTCTCATTCAACCCTCAGGTAACCACAACCCTACTCCCCTCTCTAACCTTCAGCTGATGGCTTTGGCTGGGGCCCCACCCTCGGCTCAAAGAAGGATGAAACCTAGATATGAGCTCCTCAGTGCTTCATCTCTTCTCTCCTACCTACACTGGGCTGAGAAATGGGCCTGGGGCCTGTTTACAGCCAGTGATGCATCATGAGGCTTTTGCTAATAATCCTGGGAAAGAAATTTTTCTCTTTCCCATTAGACATGAGCCAGTTAGGTAGCCCCAGTAGCTGTTAAGAGTCATCTTGCAACAACAAAAGTAAAGCTGGTCTGAGAATGGAGTCAACCCAGAAAAAAAAAAAAAAAAGCTGCACTCTGTCCGCTGTTGTGCCTGTTCTCTTTCTTTGCTTAAGTCAGATGGAAGCAGCACTGTCACCATTGCAAACAAAAGGGTCCTAACTGAGTCCCCACTCCTCGTGCTGCAATTAGTGTGAAAGCACAGACTGGGTCTTATCTGCAGCTGTGTCCCTAGCAGCCATATTAATGTCTGGCCCACAGTAAGTACCAAAGCAGAGTTTCTTGGATGAGCTTGAGGCTGCCTTCACAGACATTTCTCCTAGCTCCAAGTAGCCAGGAGAACCTTTGTCCCTTCCCCGGGCAGTTACTAATGCAAGGCCAGGACCCCTCCTGAGTCATCAGCAGAGATGCCCGCCCAGGTTTTGGTCAGGAGGGAAGCTGCCATGTGGGTTATGACTGAATGGTCAACTTGGAGTTTTCACTTGGAACCATTTCATTGCCCATTCCCACCCAAAGGCAGCAATTTGCACAAGAGCTGTTTATTGTGCAACTAAGCACAAGGCCCTTCTTGTATGAGGGCTGAATCTTAAACCTGAGGTCAAGGGCCTGAGGACTGCCAGGCACCTAAAGAAAGTAGTTTCTTCCATTTAGGCTCCCCTGTTGTTTCCCAAACTTGTCAGGATTCTCATGTTCCAACAGACCCACCTTCCTGGCAGAGCCTGGGGCTAAGAGCAGAGAAATTATTGGAACAGGTTAAATCTCTCTCGGAGGCTGATAAACAATATCACAGCCCACTCCTTTGGGCTCTGACCTAAGTCTCCTTCAGCTGTTAGCAGGAGGCTAGGGGCCTCTCAATTTCCATATTCCCCTGACCTATCTGAAATGCTCAATGCTTGGAAAACCCAAAGTTCTGAGAATACACTAGCCCAGAAGGAGTGCTCAGGCTCTTCTTTCAGGGGAGGGGTGTGTAGGTGGTTGTCTCCAGAGAGAGGTGTGTGCTTTGCTCTCAGCACTTGGGGCTCTAGGTAACCAATTCCTAACCCTGCTGCTAGAAGGAGGATCAGCTGAGTGGAAACGGAGAAGTTGAAAGCAGAAGTGAGGAACCTCCTGCAGTTTTGCCAGTTGATAATTGATATTAGAGCTGACTGAGTCCTCCTCCCCTATTTTGAAAACCCCACTGTTAATAGGAGATCATTAGAATATACGAGTGTCACCATTTTTTAAAATGTATTTTTACTAGAGGCCCAGTGCATGGATTCATGCACCCATGGGGTCCCTTGGCCTGGCCTGGACATCCTCTGAGGGGTCCCAGATTGCGAGAGGGAGCAGGTCAGTGCCCAATTAGTACCAGAGAGGGACTGTGGGAGGGCTCCAGGGCATGTCTGGCCCATCTCACCCAGTCCCCAGCAGCAAGCTGACCCACTGGTTGGAGCATCTGGCCCCTGGTGATCAGTGTGTGTCATAGCTATTGGTCAAACAGTTGAACAGTCACACAGTCACTAAGGCTTTCATATATATATATATATATATATATATATATATATATATATATATCATCCTGTTTCCCCGAAAATAAGACAGTGTTTTTCTCCCAAAGTTGCGCCAGGTGTTATTTTCAGGGGATGTCTTATCTTTCCATGCACTAGGTCTTATTTTCAGGGAAACCCGGATATATATATATATATATATATATATATATATATATATATATAATTTCAGAGAGGAAGGAAGAGAGAGAAACATCAATGATGAGAAAGAATCATTGATT